AGGAGGCAGAAACGAGCACCACGTCCACCCTCTCTTCCCATGAGGGTCTCCTTGTGTTTGTGGTCAGTATGATGTCCACGGTTTTGTTGCACACAGGAGGAGAACACCTACTATTGCTTCCCAAAGTGGAAGCTTGGCAAGAACTATGATTTTTAGGGTTCTGATCACCAGTTTCAATGTTTGTGTGGTTTTTCCACACCACCACCAAGCACGCTCTCATGCCCACTGGCTGTCCTCACTTTAACTCAATTCTGACGCTGCCTACCTGGAGAGATCCACAGGTTAGGGGCTCAGTCCCACAGGGCTATCGCCCACCCACCACCACTTCAGCAAGTCCAGGCTGCCCTCTGTGTCCCTGACTGACAGGCTGTGGATTGGAGGCTCCGGTGACCCCCTCCTGGGCTTCAATTAATTTGCTAGAGTAGCTCACAGAGCTCCGAGAAACATCTCTTCCTAGGATCATAGGGTTATTATAAAAGGAAGAGATGCGTAGGGCAAGGCATGGGGCAAGGGAGAGGAGCTCCCATGCCCTCTCCTGGGGGCTCCTCTCCCTGCACCTCCACCTGCTCGTCTGCCCCACAGCTCTCCCAACCCTGTCCCTCTGGGGTTTTTATGGAGGCTTCATTACATACGCACAGCTGATTAAGCCGCCAGCCCTTGGTGACTGAGCTCACTCGCCAGCCCCTTTCTCCTCCCCAGAGGTCAGGTCCCCTGGCAATCGACCCCCTCCTTAGGTGCTTTCCAAAAGCCACCTCATTCACAGGACAGGACACTCCTTTGTTCTCTCAGCACTTAGGAAATTCCAACGGCTTTGGTAGCTGTGCCAGACACAGAATGAAGACCAAATGCATATTTCTTTTTATAAATCACAATGTCACAGTTTTAAAAGTTGAATTTAACCCTGAAAGTATCCACAGAACCTGAGTCGGTTGGAGCACTCAGCCCTAAGGAGGAAGAGCCCTACGGAGGTGGGGGTGGGGAACTGCCCCTCCCATCCCCCCCTGCGGTCAGCAGATGTCACTCTCCTAGGCTCTGCTCAGCCTTCAGTCCCCTCCTTTCTCAACAGCTTGAGAGCAACACAAAAAATGCCAACCAGAATGAATTGCTTGGTGTCTTGAAATTAGCATTTCTAATTCGACTCCAAATTTTCCTAATGAATGTCAGGCTGTCTTTATGGCAGGCTTCAACACAATTTGTCACTGCACTGACAAGTCAGGGAAGCTGGCTTTGATGCTCTTGTCCTAAACAGAGAAAGAACCTGGTCCCAGAATGGACATCGGTAGCCCTCTATCAAGGTCCACACTGCCACCAAATAGCCATACGACCTGGGCCCTCAGTGTGGCTTGATTTCCTGAATTTTAAATATGTGGCCCTATATCCTCTTAGAGACCTTGGCTTGTGTAGCCTAGACTAGAGGACCCCAGGGCAAGAGCCCAGGAGAGGAAGCAGGAGTGGACAGCAGCTTAAAGTGGTGAATCCAGGATTCCCTGTGGTCTGGAGGGCCAGGAGCTGCGGGCTCATTTTGGAGGGGAGGCTTAGGGGGGCCCCAGCCTGCGCGGGTGACACAGGTGATCCCAGGAGCAGTCCTGCCCTGTGGATTTGCAACAGAGAGCCGAGTGCCCCCTCAGCTCCCCAACCAGAGCCTCTTCGAATAGGAACAGAAGGGGCCCCAGCCTCTTCTCCTCTCGGCCAGAAGAGGCAGTGCACCAGGGTCCAAGGGTCTGAAATTCACCCCAGACCATTCACTGTTCAGGCAGCGTTCTAGATGGTTCTACTGTGATAACACCCCTATTTTGTACCATTACAAAGGCTATTGAAATCATATTCATAGATAATCAGGAAAAGCTTTCAGAAATAAGGCAACACCCCCCTCAAAAAAAAACAAAACTTGATCTTATTACTTTTTAGTATTAGGCTAAAGGATTTTATAATGAGCCTATCGGAAGGTCACCTGACTCTCAGGGAATATACTGGTTCGACAATTGACTTGGGGCTGGGTTACCTGACGAAAACAGATGAGGTATAAAGGCTGATTCATTAGACAAGACTGCCCTGAAGGCTGAGGCTGAATCACCCTGCAGGAATACTAAACAGATTGTCCCTAAGTCACCAAGCGTTTTTCAGTGTTCCTCCTTCCACTGACCACATGTCTCATGTCCATGTAGACCCTTCGAACCACTTAGTCCACTCGTTTTTGCATCTATGAGTTAAAACAAAAACCTCCCATGTGATTGCTGTTTATTTGCATTAGAATTATGATTTTAGCAACTTTAGAATTATCCTTATCCAAGGATTTGTAATGATTTGTGAACATGCTTCAAGTATACTATTAATTTATAAATCCATCCATAGAACTAAGTATCATGTCTCTACCGTTGAGATGTATTTATCCATCTATGTACCTAATTCTTTACCTCCCTGTATATCCATGTGCCTGCTTATAACCACCCATTAAATACATCTGAACTCAAACCGCTGGGCCTTATTAAGCTGCTGTTGATTCCATTCTAACTTCTGCTCCTTAATTAATCATATGACTTGGGCAAGTCATACATGCTAAGAGGTGCATTTCCTCAGTTGTAAAATTAGAGTCCTACAGGACGGTGGAGAAATGTAAGAGAATGTATATATAAAGCATTTGGGGTAGTGCCTGGCTCATGTCCTCAATCAGGCTAAGTTATTCTTGGTATGTGTAAGCCTAGACATAAGTATTTAGTAAAAATGGGAAGGAAATTTGACAAAAAGTAAACAAGGGTTATCTTGGGACTTGACTATGGGTCGGCTCTGGACAAGGGCTTCGAAAGCATCATTCTTGTCCTCAGAACAAGAAAAAGCTGGGCAAACTGAAAGAGAATGGCTGCTCCTGGATCCACTGGAAGACCGAGGTTGCAGGGCAAAGCATCACCCCAAAATCTGGAGAAACAGGAGAATCGGGAGGGCCAACACTAAGACCAGCTTACCTGGAGCAGGAGCGGCTGGAGCTGCACAGGGACAGGACACGCCAGTGAACTGCCAGAGGCTGAGTATGTGCCACCACAAGAGTGGGAACTCCTGGAGGCTGGCAGTCTTAGAGGCTGTCACACTTCTGGAGGCTCTGCAGTCTTAGAGGCTGCAGACTTTTGTGGGTTTTGCCTGCAGGAACCCCACCACGTCCTCATGGTGGAGGCTGGTGAAGATTTGGCTCTGGTGGGAGAAGGGAAAATAGTCATTGTGAAATACGCCAGGATATTGTCCATAACAAAGGTGCCTTCCCCAAGGAAGAAGGCTGTGTCAGAGTTTCTAAAACATTATCCCAGATGGGAGACATGGATTCCTCCCACTCAAGCCCCCCTTAGTTCCTTTGTCTCATACCCAAGGAGGAAAAGAAAACATAGACAAGAGGGGTCAGGGCTTCAAGGATAGATTGCGAATGCTCCAGCCAGGGAAGGGAGGAGTGGGCAGAAGAAAATCCATTCCACTGGAGTGACATGTGTGGAGATCACAGGCCCATGAAGAATTGACAGTTAATTCTAAAATTAAAGAATGTTCCTCCCCCAATCCCAGTAGTCCTCCACTCTAATAACAAGAGACTATAAAGCAAAGCATGGCAAGACAGCCTCTCTTTTAGGAGGAGTACTTAGGGAAGCCCAAGCTCAAAAAGGAGAGAAAGAAACAAAGAACCATGAATAGAAAACTAACAAATACAAGGTCCTGAACAGACATTTCTTTGGAGAAGACCTATAGATGGCCAGCAGGCGCATGAAAAGATGCTCAACATTGCTCATCATCAGGGAAATGCAAATCAAAACCACAGTGAGATACCACCTCATACCAGCCAGAATGGCCACTATCCAAAAGACAAGAAATAACAAGTGTTGAGAATGTGGAGAAATGGGAGCCCTCCTACACTGCTGGTGGGAATGTGAACTGGTGCAGCCACTGTAGAAACAGTATGGAGGTTCGTTGAAAAACTAAAAATAGAAAAACCACACGACACAGTAACTCCACTTCTAGGACTTTACCTGCATAAAACATTATCTCTGATTTGAAAAGATATTTGCATCCCTATGTTTATCGCAGCACTATTTACAATAGCCAAGATATGGAATCAATCAAAGTGTTCATCAATAGATTAAAGGATAAAGAAGATGTGGCACATATATACAGTGGAATATTATTCAGCCATAAAAAAAGAAATCCTGCCATTTGCAACAACATGGATGGACCTGGAAGGTGTTATGCTAAGTGAAGTAGGCCAAGTAGAGAAAGACAAAAGCCATATGATTTCACCTATATGTGGAATCTAAACACAAAACAGAAGTAGACTATTAGCACTGAGGAGTGACTGGTGGTTACCACGAGGGAGGGGTTGGGGTGGACAGGTGGGGTGGGTGAGGGGGATAAAGAGACACAAAATCTCAATCATAAAAAAAGTAAAAGGAAATAGTGACAAACATGGCAGATATTTAACTATTCAATGGCAGCTTTAAGTGTGAATAGTCTAAATACAGCAATGAAAAGACAGATTGTCAGAATCTGTAAATTGAGTAAAACTCAATTCAACTCTGTCTTCTATAAGAAACCCACTTTAAATGTAAAAACTCAGGTTAACAGTAAAGGAATGGAAAAAGACATGCTATGCTAACACTAATCAAATGAAAGCTGGCATAGCATATTAATTTCCAGTAAAGCTGACTCCAGAGCCAGGGAGGTTACCAGAGACAGAGAGGGCACTGCATCCCGAAAAGGGTGGGTTCTTTAAGAAGACATACACCTAATGGATGCAGCTGACAACAGGGCAGCAAATATGTGGGGACCTTCCCTGGTTGATGTGATTATGAGTCATTTTATTTTATTTTCCAGACATTCCCCAGCAAGCACGTATGTGAGAAAAAGCAAACTTCACTGCTTCCCTGTGTTGCTTCCCGCCCATGAAGGGAGGCGGAGGCGGCGGCAACAGCGTTGGAACAGAAGCCCAGGAGGTCAGGTGTCCATTCAAAGATATTTTAGGAGCCATTCTTTGCCCTTGCAAGTTCACCTTGTCTAGGAGGGAAAAGGGCAGGAGCTCAGCCTGAACAGATGGCCTCACAGAGGGTGCTCACTGCTGCAGAAACCCTGGAATATCATCATTTAAAAACTAAGTCTCCATCCCAGGCTTCCCTGTCAATTTAAGAGCAACTGCTCACGGACAAGATTTGGGGAAGCACTGGGGCACATCGGTCACTGAGGCCAAATCACAGAGTGGGACATGGAGGCCCAGGAGAATGTCATTCTGCACGCAGTTGACCTTTAGAAGGATTTGAACACTCACCAAAGGACGACACTCAGCCTTCAGGTGTGGGAGCAACATCGTGCGGCCAGCGGCTTGAGCAGCTGAGCCCTGCAGGGGTCACCTGGGAGGCAGGTGTGGCTAATTAAATGGAAAAGCCACTTCCAGGGGTGTTTTTAATCCCTAAGCAATCTTAAACTTTGAGCTGTGATGCCAAATCCTAGCTCTTGTGAAAAGGAGCAAATCCTTGTCCTTAGAAAAATGCTATACAAGGTCCTGTCTGATTGAACTAAGAAACTGGATTGTTTCACTTAGGGATATATATCTCAGATACTAAAATTTTGGTCAATAGGAAAACCTGAGAAATAAACATATGAGGTTAAGATATGTTTCTGGCCACCTGAGAGTTAATCAGAAGATGTTTGGCTTTAGTTCATGTCGATAACTCTCTCCTGCTTTTCTTTCCCATCACAGCTCCCTGCCAATCTTTTCTGTTGTTGAGGAATTAAGTCCTCCCAAGGACGTGTGGCTTTGGTGCCACACTAAATACCCTTTCTTCATCATATATCTTGGTCAGTGAGAATGAGGGAGAGTTAAACAAATATGTACTAATCCCAGGCTGTACTGTGATTCAAAAAAAAAATCTCGTAATGTCAATGTATTCAGTTATAGTTCTGTTTTATCCTAAAATCGATTACAAATATTTCCAAATCAGTAATGGCATCACCCTTTTATTGCCAATGGAACCTTTTCATTCAAAATGTGTCCAGCAGTCTTAGGCTTGGAGCTGAGGACTTCCATTCACCCTGTCCTTGCTCAAGCGGCTGCAGTGGCCGCGAGCCCAGACTCTAGCAAGAATGGAGGGTTTGGTGACCAGGAGGCCGGGAAGAACCTGCCGCCACCCTCCACTCGCAAGGGTGCACACACCTTACAAGGCTTCTCTGCTTGTTCATACCTGCCTGCTAGAAAATCATGGTCTCATCTGGTTTTGAGCCCTGGTCCTCAAAGAGTTCAAAACCATCCCTTCATTTAGCCAACACCCCCTGGTAGCCTGTGAGCCAGGCAGGACTTTAGGCTCAGAAGGTGCAGCGAGCAAGACTATAGGTCTCTGCTTTGTGGGGCTTCCATCCTAGCTGGGAAGGCAGGTTATAGCTGCGAAACAAATGAGCAGATCACTGGAGAGGAGTGTGCACATGGTCTGTACGTGTCCCTCAGCATGCATGGCATACATGAACACAGACAGCGAAGCGAGCCTCTCATCTGAAGATTCCTGCAGCTGAACAACCCCATGCCCTTAGGGTGGGAGGGGGTTGCTGCACATGTGCCTGCCAAGGAGTCCGGGGTCTTGTATCTCTGGGTCTCAGAGAATACCAAAGGGGACCTCAGGGGGTTCCCATGGTGTCTCCTGGGGAAGCCCAGAGACTTGGAAGGGGTAGAAGTCAGAGGCTCTGCAGGAAGCTATTCAGCCAAGCCCTGGAGCCCACTGGGGGCAGGGCTTAGAGCCCCAGGCTGCCATGTGGTCCTCTGAGCAGAGGGGTGGGAGGGGTGCTACTCTGTAAAGTTGGCAGGGTTGGTGCCAAAGCCAGCCAAGGCCATTGCATATGTCACTCAGGGCCACAGCAGGGCACTGGAGGCCACCAGCCTTTCCCTCCCACAGTCATGGGCAGGAGACACGTGACAGGGTCAGGGGTTGGCTGCCTGGGAAGACTTGGGGTCAGGGCGCAGAGGGCCCGGGAAGCAATTAGAGAAGAGCTTGTCCTGTAACCTGGGTACAGATTCTGAATGAAAGGTGAGCTGTAGGTAAAACTCTCCAGCTGGTGGGTTTCAAAGAGCAGCATTTGTTGTGATGACAAGAAAAAGGACAATCATTCCATGTTTCCACCACAGAAGACTTTCCTATCAATGAGTTATAATTCTGATTGCTTTTTCTAAGCACCCACAGATTGTTCTGCCTTCCTTCTGGCACATTCATTTTTACACTGGCTAATACCACGGGTCTGGGCACATCTTTGCACATCTCTGATGATATTCCTTATATGGATTGTTAATTTTAATCTCAGAGTTTAGGGATCTGTTTTGATAGTATGGACATACAGTTGGACAACGTACGATATTTTTGAAAAAATAGGCCACCTGTAAGTCCTGTGGTTAGGGCTGTTTTTGGCTGGCTGACCAATGCTGAAGCCCAGGCACAGGGAGAACCCGAAACTCTTTGCAGAGCTTGGCCCTGGGAAGGGGTTTCAGAAAGGTCTTTTTCTTTTGCAAAGTTTTAATTCAATTTGTGTGCATTACCTAGTCTGTTCTTTAAGCTACTGACTGGTTTTAGCATGTAATTTTGTTTACATTGAACTGTGTGAAGCATTTCTTGGCTTCTCAATTAGTTCATGGCCTCACGTTTTACCTTGATCTCACTGTGGTGGTATTTCAGCTGTAAACCTTCCGGAAAGACTGGTCCTTCGCCTGTGGTTCCGTTTCTCCACTCCTCTCCCATTTCTCACCTCTTCTCCCTAGAGTTTTGCTTGTCTTCCCTGTAGTTTTCCATTGTGCCCCCATTGCCTTATCTCCTTACCACTCATTTCATCCTCTTATTGGTTAATTATTATACAGAGATTTTGTTCTTGATTCTAAGATTCTAGTCCTGGGAGGCTGGTGGCAGGGCGATAGATGTGGGGAACTGTCACCTGGCCCCCAACAGTGTTACACCCCTTTTATCAGGAAGCCAAATGAAAACAGAGTGGACACTTGTCACATTCACCAGGGAGTTCCAAAATGGGCCCTAGGAGAGTGACTAAGCAACATGTTTTCCCATGATAGCCAGCAAAAAGGAGAATCTAAGAAATTTCTTTTTTGAACTCTGGCCTTTTAAAATGTGTAGTATTAAAATTCAGGAGGGAAAATGTAGGCATGTTGGGCTCTGATATCCTTGTGTATCCTGGGTTGTTACAAAGAAAGTACCAATAACCCCACACTGTACGCCTTTCAGTCTATTCATTTTAGGACTTAGGTTGTTGCTTAAAGAGAAGAGGGCAGATATAGAAGACTGGAGAAGCTATTTTCATAAATGGGCTCACTTATAAAATCATGAGTATGGATCACCTCCTTCACATTAGATTTTCAATGGTGACAGTCTACTTTTCTCCTGTCGAAGGCACTACGAGGTCAATAACGCCACCAGCCATCCAGCACACCAAGCCAGGCTTGCCTCTCTGATTAAGTTCAGGATTCAAGGAGGCCTTGGCCAAAGTAGGAGGCTCCTAATTCATCAGGGATCTAAACCATCGCTCTGTTGTCCTTTGAACAAACCTTAGATGGGGTCCAATTAGTACCACTCCACAATGCTAGATTTTAATTCCTAAGAGAAGTAAAGGCCCTCAGAAATCATGCAAACAAGCCCCAAAGTTGAAAAGTCAGCATTTTCTAATCTGTATATACTGTGTGTTTCTGACTGTCAAATGTTTCACTATGTGGACAGATTGGTGGTTATTAAGATGGTAGGAAAGATGTTCATAACTCTACAGGTGAGAAAATTGAGGGGCAATGTGTTCTGCAGACAGAAAATGGAAAAATAAATGGGTCTGCTTCTCACCTTGGCAATTTGAGGGGAAATTTTTTGAAGTAATGAAGGGAACTAAAATTAGATAGGATGAGAAATTGGCTCATGAATTGAAAAGCATCAGTCTGTGTCCTAAGTAATATGAAATTCCAGACATCGGGTAGAGTATTCACATTGCTTTCATGTCATCTCAATACAGTCCTCAAATGTTTATTACATAAAAATGAAAAAATGTTATAGGCAAAAAGTATTAGCAAAAAGAGCATTGGATTGTCACAAAAATAAAAACAGCTGCTGTTAGGTGTATACAGTGTGTTTGGCACAGCCCTGAACATTTTAAGGTGACTGTGTTACTCCATCCTCTCAATGGTTCTGTTGCCACGAACAAGAGATATGAAGCTAACAGGCTGAACTCTTTGTTCAAGATCATACAGCTAGTAATTGGCAAAACTGGGGTGTGAAGCAAGGATCTCTGGAAAAGGGGGCCCTTCCCCTCTCTGCCTCTCCCAGAGTCCTCAGCTGGGCTCAGCCACATACCAGCCGTGTGACCTCCATCCTCCTGGCAGTCGCCTGGCACCCGCAGCGAGCTGGACTCTGCCAGGAGTGGGGCTAAGGTCTGGCTGGGCTGTCCGCCTCTTATGGGGCCCTGGCAAGCAGCTATTGGCTGTATTGGCTAGTGTGACTTTAGCCAAGTCATTTGATGTCTTAGGTATCCAGTTTCTTCATCTGTAGAGTGAGGAATTTCTAATCGTCAAGTGATTTGGAACTAAGTGCATGTAACAAAATCCTCTAATGAAGGTTTTAAACACCTAATTACCAGGGTCTTACTCCACACCAACCGAACCAAATTTGGGTTGAGGCCTGGAAAGTGGAATTTGGAACTTCTTCCTCAAATAATTTGAATTCAAACCTGTATTGAAAGAGTCACTAAAAAGTCCTGACTCCAAATTCCTTTCTAGCTTTCACATTCTAGTTTTATCTTTAGAGTATCTTTAAGTATTTTCCCACTGTCCAGCATTTACACTTGCAGGTTGGCAGCCACATGCCCACTGGCATTGCACCTCCACGTACTGAATGCCCTTCCAACATGGAGAACAATTAGGCATCTCTCTCAGGGGTGGAATATTGAGCAGATGCACAGCTAACAAGAGCTTTCCAAATGGGGCATGAAGTGAAGGTGTCAAGGACCTAGACTCACTCCAAGGCACCCCACAGCTTGTTCCCCAGAGCCGTGTCATCCCTTGGACCAGCACTACCAGCCCAACGAGTCCCGGTGCATATCACCCAAGCGATTCCAGGTCCAAAGAAGTTGCTGGGGGTGGGGGTGGGGGTGGGGGTTGCATCTCTTCCACATAAAAGGATTCAGCATTTGATCTAGGATTGTGGAGGGACACAAGTTGTCAACATTGTCCAGATTAAGTGTGCATAAAACACTCTTAGAAAATGTTTGCCAAAAGGAGATGACTTCAGAGAGAAGTCATTATTCTGGAGTGCTCCACAAGGGTCCACAGAT